AAAAAACCTAGTTTTTATAATTTTTAAATAGTTTAGATTGTATAAAATAATTGTATCACTATTATATTTTTGACTATTTATAGTATTGTAGCTATAAACAGCTGAGTCCCTTTAGCAGATAAATTTGTCTTTTTGTAAATTTTTTTTTAGTAATCAACGTGTTGTTGATGATTATTCTGCATTTTAAACTAGTACTTTTTTAACTTAGTACTATTTAAATAAACTATGAATAATGTTTTTCATATTTAATATTATATTTCAGAAAAAATATTAACAACTTTTCGCCATTATTAAAAATTATGATTCATTTATTGTTGTAATATCTACGCATATTACTTTAAAATAATTCTTAAGATATTTGGATGTAAATTATAAGAAAAGTACAATCTCACAAAAATTGTATATGTATTGTAACGTACAGATTATTCGTCCTTTACCAACATTAGCATTTCAATACCATTGTTAACAACATTTCAGTTGTTAACTTAAAGTGTACTCGGACCGGTCTAATCGTTATCACGCGACTACTCCCTACTACGAACGTTGTAGTGAACGTCCCTATCACCGGCCGATCAGCTATTACACACCACACACAAATTTTTATAGTATAGTATCATTTTTTTTTTTGTTTTGGGCAATATTCCGTTTTTGTTTTGTTTGTTGAAACATTTAATTTTGATAGTTATAATATACAATTTGTTTGTTTATATAGACGTTTAATTTTTGTTTTTAAAACATAACGGCAAAGTTCAAGTTTATAAAAAACTCATATAGTTTTGTTATTCTATTCTTTCGCACTAATTGCTAGGATCATTGATTGTACAGCTACTAATTAGCTCGATAACTTGTATCTTTACCGAGATAGTTAATTGCTACATATTTAATCGTTCTAGTTCATTGTGGCAGTTAAATTTTATGTTACCAAAAAATTGTCTTTAATTAGTAAGTTCATTTGTTATTGTTGTGGTCCGTGTTTAGTTTTAGGTAGCATCTCTGGCCAGCAGCTCTGCAAATTGTGAGTACTATTGTTGATTTGTGTTCCACTTTGTAATTTAGTGTAGTCTTTATTCTCATTATAGTTATTATTGATTGTAATTTATTGAACAGATTAGTTATTACAAATTAATTTATTTTTTATTTATTTCATTGTAGGCGTAAGGCCAACGCACAACGGTCATAAGGACCTTATGAGTATAAAATAGTCATTATCGCACGGGTATTTGTTATTTTATATTGTGGGTAAATCATTAAATAATTAAACTATCTTTAATTTTGTTTTATCTGTTCAATATCATTTTAATAATTATTATTATCTAGTCAAATTTGTTTAATTTAATTACAACATCTTATTATTGAATTTTATACTATTATTCTTTATATTGTCCTTTTAATTAATTACATAATTTTACACCATTGTTCTTGGAGTTATTTTTATACATATTGTTTATTACTATAATTACTTTAAAGATGAGTTGAGAGTCATTTATTATTAGAAGAGTCATATTCATTTGTTATTGATTTATTGAATTTGTATAGTTCATTGTTGCTGTTATTTTGTTAGATTTTTCAAAGTTTATAATTATATTATTTGTTGAGTCAAAATGGCTAAATTCATCTAGTCAAGTTATTCGTTGAAAATATTATTAATTATTGTAAACAGGTTTAAATTATTTATTTATTTAGTTTAATAGTACACACTTACATATATACACACTAACACATCTTTCACTACATAGATCACTGGTTGCTGCGCAGGCGAACCCTCCCATCACCAGTGATTCTATTTACATACATCACACTACGCAGCCTGATCGGTATTAGTGCAATTAGCCGGTTCGGGTACGCACTATAATATTTAGTGCCCCAGTCCCCAACAACAATATTAGTAGTGCCTAATAAGCACAAACGTCCCTACGACCTACTATGGTATGCGGCACGCGCGGGTGTAAACAAACCGATTACACACTGTTCTTAAATTAATTAAAAAATTAATCAATAAGTAATGAACGCAATCGACATCTTACCACGCTCGCGGTTACTCATTTTAGCTTCGATGCGAAGCTGAGAAGGTATTGGTTTTACTAAGATGTGTTTTTTTTTTTTTTTG